AAATTAATTGAAACCCAATTAATGACGAAATAATTGCAATTAATTGCAATTAAATTCAATTTTTTGTATAAAGCGATATCTGATGTATCCGATTTTTAAACAGCAAAAAATCCAAAATCGTATTTATTTGCTGTGATTAATGGCAGATATATATGTAATCCAATTATGTAAAATTGCAATTAATTGACCAATTATGGCTGCACCACCAATCAATTAATTGAGTTCAAAATATTGCAATTAATTGCCCCACAATCAATTATTCGGTAGGCCTGCTTTAAATCTAAATAATGACTGATTAAATTAAGCCAATTTTGATTGTGACAACAGCGCTTGCAAAAAAAAACAGAATTGTTTGCCAGAAAAATACTTAAAAAAGATTGAATTATGAAGTTATCCTCCATACCTTGTATTATTGGCTTGCCAATCTGTCTATGCTAGAAAAGTTAATTTTACCAATGAATTTTCTAAACATGTTACTGAATTAAAAGCATTGTTTAGAAGTACAAAAAACAAAGTAACTTATTTAAAATATCTTAGATTAATAAAAGATTCACCTAATTTTCATTTTAATAGCTATACATCAAGCACATGCTGTGGATACAAAAGAAGATTTAGAAACAAACAATTATTTGTAAAAACAAGGCATAAGACTGGTTATAGAGAATCATCTTTCTATTAGTAAATTTGAATTAGATAATTATAGACAAAACAAAAATAGAAATTGCATTACATATTGTATTGTCCAACTAGTAGCATAAATATTTATAAAATGTCAAAATACATGCTATTTAATTATAGTTTTGGTAATAAACATTACTGATGTCTTACTACTTAGTAGAAGTGTTTTTAGAAATTTTTTCATTCTTCGAAAATGATGTCTCTACTTTATTTAACCTAGTCCTAGTTAATAAAGAATTCTGCAAACTAATAGTACCAATTCTCTGGCGTCAGCCATAGGATTTAATTTATGCAGAAATATGTAAAAAATCCTATCATACCAAAATCGTTGCTACCTATCTTTCTTGCCAAGATACCGAGGATAAGTCGATTCTTTACAACAATAATGATAATAGCATTTTGCTACCACATTTTCTCAATACTACAACCACCTTTGATTATGTTTGCTACCTAAGATCTTATTCTAAGAAAAATATTGACCAAATAATAGAAAGTTGGATTAAGAACATTACTAAAGACTTAACTCTTCAGGAACAGGCTATTTGTTTACTGAAAAGTTCTATTTCTTTGGCTCTAGAAAAAATGATTTTAAAGAAATGCAAGATGATTCGCAAGATACATATCGTTGAAACAGGAACTATCTCTTTTTTAAATCCACAAATTGATACGATTTGCACTTGGGAAAACTTAGAATTTTGCTTGCTGGAACTTAATGTTGTTACAAAAGTTATTGATTTTAAGAAAATACTTAAGCAGATTTTTCATCATAGTGCTAAACTAAAAAGTTTAGATATTTTGATTGCCAGATATCATTCCAGCATTTTTGATCTCCTAAATAGTTTGGTGCAAATGCAGGATAAAATTCAAAAAATTAGTCTCGAGATGTACACTTACAATCCTCGGCTTTTAATAATAGCTTATTCTAATTTAGTTAATCGGCAAAAGAATTTAAGCAGTTTTAAATTTATAGCTAATGCATATTCCTTCTATCAGGATCTTTTTACTCATCGTTCTGGTTTGGTAGAAATCGATAACTTCAATTTTGCTGCTAATAACTTAATGAAAATAGTATTAAACATAGTAAAAGTTACTCCAGAACTACTAGCCAAATTAAGTCAATTACCTAATCTCAAGGTTTTACAAATCAAATACTGTGCTATCCAAGAAGAGCTTGACTATATCGCTTGCCAAAGCAAATTCTACAAATTACATGACTTAGAGCTATTCTATAGTAGAAGATTGG